AGGTATAATTGAAATATAACACTATATTAGCTTTACATAGTGATTTCATATTTATGTACATTGTGAAATGATCATCACAATAAGTCTAGTTAACATGCATCACTGTACATAGTTACAAATTTATTTTTTTCTTGTTATGAGGACTTTGAAGATCTACTCTCTTAGCAACTTTTAAATATGTAATATAGTACCATTAACTCTAGTCACCTGCTGTACATTACATGCCATGGCATATTTTATAGCTGAAAGTTTGTACCTTTTGGCCCCCTTCACTCATTTCATCTACCTTCCTCATCTGGCAACCGCCAATCTGTTCTATGAGCTTTGGTTTTGTTTGCTTTGTTTTTTAGATTTTATATATGTAAGGTCATACGGTATTTGTCTTTCTCTATGGGAGTTATTTTATTTCACATAAAGCCCTGAGAGTCTATCAGTGTTGTCACAGATGGCAAGATTTTATTTTTATGGCTGAGTAGTATTCCATTGAGTGTGTGTGTGTGTGTGTGTGTGTGTGTTACATCTTTATCCATTCATCCATCAATGGACATTTAGCTGTTTTTATATCATGGCTATTGTTAATATTGCTACAATGAACATCGGGGTACATGTATCTTTTGACGAAACTCAAGCAAATGTCTTTGTGAGCTTTCCTTTGAATCATGACTGTGGCAGAGTAGTTTAGTCTGTTTTCATGCCATTCTCTTATTTTTGTGTGTGTGTGGGCATTTACACCGAGTGGGTGAAGCCTGAGGCAGTGCCTCCCACAACAGCTCTGCTGGTTTCTATGATGAGTCAGTGCGGTTCTAGGGTTCTTTTATTAACTCACCAGCTTTGACGTATGGCCCTATAATTTGAATAAACATCCAAAAAGGAATCCTAACTAAAATGATTGGGGAGTGAGGTCAGACCACAGTGGTGGCTGCTAGACCGCTTCCTGGCATGGAACCCTACAGCAGATGTGTCCTGGTTTTATATTCGTGGAGTCTTGGGAACAACCAATGATTTTAGACTGGAACAAGGGTTGATTATTTTGTTTTTCACAAGCAGCAGCCTGCAAGGTCCATATTTAAAAAGAGGAGAATAAAAATCATAGTGATCTTTGCCACCCTGAGTATAGAGACATTCAAATTAAGACTAATTTGGAAATATATTTCCACAAAGACTAACTGGGAATGAGAGGAATATGTTCCCACGTGAGACAGGTTGGAAGGAATGGTAATTTGCATCTTGCTGTTCAACTCAAATAAATATTACAAGGTATTCCCCAAGTAAGTTCCATTTCTCTCTGTTAACAGTTCTTCTGTCATATACACTGTGGGCTACTTTAGGCAGTAAGTCATAGACAGTGGGGTATAATATCTCATCTTAAATAGGTGATCATTCTGTTAACCTGCTCCAGATTATGAGGCATGTCCAAAGGAATGTTGACTCAGTGTAAATCAAATTCAGAAGAGCCTTTTGGACTTGGAGCGAGAGACAGATGGTCAAAGGACTGAGACCAGGTTGTTACTTTATTCAACTGCCTGTTGACAGATCCGTTGACCTAAGACAGGGGATTTAAAGTAGCTTATTTAGTGTGCTTAGTTGTTTTTTTAAAAATATTCATTTATTGTGCTCATGAAAGGGAGGGTTAAATCTTATGTATTTCTTTGAAACAGCAAGTAATGACTCCTCATATTGTCTTGTACGTGCCTCTTTACTTTTGCTTTGGGTGGCATTTAGATCAGCCTGTCCAGCCCTTTCGAGCAAATAGAGGAACTATGTGTTCAGTTTCCTCTTTGCCATTGAACTTGATAAAGCTGTTCCTAAGGCCAGTAGAGACCAGAGACATTGTCCTCTTACGAAAAGAAGGGGCAGCTGCAAGTTTCATGCCTCTCGGAAGCCATAGCCTGAGCCAGCCCGGCCTTGGCAGACTGTTCAGTTCTTCTCTTGCAGAGGCTGTAATAGGGAAGTGAAGCTCTGAGCCTACAGCTTCTGAGGCCTCGCCAAGTTATGAAGGAACTTCCTGGGGCATGAGCTGGGGGTGCCAAAGGGAACATATCATATTAATGTGATATACTTATTAGCATCTCATACTGTTTTTAGTTAGAAAACTCTAGAAGCAAACCAAATTTCACATTCCAGACTTGGGGCAGGGTGTGTGGGAGGGTGGAGAGAGAGTTTGCCGTTTAACATGCTAAATTAGTTTTCTTTTGCAAAAACCTGTCTTCATTTTGTTGATGATTACTGAGCCTTGAAAGAATAAAAATGGGTTTACTCTCAAATGAGAGTCAGTATATTAAAGGAAAGTTGCCAAGCACGCCCTCATTGATGTGACATACACTGTAAGAAAAGTATTATCTATGTAGATGGACTTGAACGCCCCTCTACAGTTGTGTTCTAGAGCCACATAATAAAAACTGCATAACACAAACAATGTTTGAGGTGAAAACCTAAATGAATTGTTGTATTTGATTATAAAAATACAACAGCTCCATTGCTTTGGCTCAGTGATTAGAGTATCAGCCCGTGGACTGAAGGGTCAAGGGTTTGATTTCGGTCAAGGGCATGTTCCTCAGATGCAGGCTCAATCCCCGACCCCAGGTGGGGCACGTGCAGGAGGCAACCAATTGATGTATCTCTCTAACATCAATGTTTCTCTCTCTGTCTCTCCCTCTCCTACTCTCTTTAAAAAGCAATGGAAAAATGCTACTGAGCATTTTAAGCATCTTTATGTATGATTGTTAGTCAAGAAAGGGCATCAACAAGAAAATAAATCATAAAAGTAAAAAAAATATCCTTGGTTGAGGATTAACAAACAAAAACAAAATACAACACCTCCTATTCGCTGAAAAAGAAACATAATTTTTGAGCAGTCATGGATAAAAAAATGAACAAGTTCTTGTCATTAAAAATACAAATCAAAGCATAAGTATTAATTTTTTAAATTATCAAGGTAACTTTTAAAAATGTGTCATTCTCCATCATGAGAAAGGTAAGTGTAAAGGAACTTTCAAAAGCTCCCGATCAGTATATGGTACAACCTTTTTATGGGACTATTTGACTCCACCTAATAAATTAAAATGTGGTCTTTTCTAATTTAGCACCATATTTCTATGGATATACTGAACATGTGTGGAAAGAGGAACTTCTACTTGTCACTTGATACCCTGAATATCAATATTTTTTGGATAAGCATTACTACCTTTGAAATAACAAAGAAAAAACAAAAGATGTATAATAGACTCCACTTCCCTTTCTCAGCCTCCTGTTTATATTTCTCTCAATTTGGGTTCAGTGCCCCTAAATTTATAGGGAAATTAAATGCAACATTTCAGGAAACTTAGGTAGAAATGGTCTAAGCCTCCAGTCTAAGTATAATCTGTGGAAATGCTAGGTCATCTGTTTTCTTCTTGCAAGATTTTAACCTCTCCTGTCACCCCACCACCACCACCACCACCACCCCCGAGTGCTCAGTTTCTCTGGAATTCTGGTAAAAAGGAAAGAGCCTTCCTAATACACTGTTGCTGTCCTCCCCTCCTATTTATTAGGGTGCTTAATGTCAGTCAAAAAGAGCTCTGGAAGTTCTTAGCAATTTTATTTTAATACTGAGAATGACGACTTGTAGCAAACCAACCAAATCGAAGTGTTTTGAGGACAGTAACCTTAAGATAAATCACCCCTCAATTTTCTTCTAAGAATCAGACTTGAACAATTTCCAGATTGCTCTTGACAATGTTGGTTATTATGAGGGAAATAAACAACAACAAAAAATTACTTGAAGGCAAGTAGGAATAGGAAAAGGTAGGGGCTATGGGAAGTATCTTTTTAGGTACATTGGCCCTACCAGAATGTATTTACAGTTCACAGGCTAAGTCTCCTTCATTTCCCTCACCTTCCTCTTGGCAGAAATCCACTCTCTCAACACTTGAGTGCTTTTTTTCCCATCTTAAGGGAGAAGTCTTCTTATACCTAACGTACCTGCTTCAGGTATAAGAAGAGGAATTAAGGCTGACCGTCTGTAGATGTACTAGCACCGTCATCCCTCCTGAAAAGAGCCAAGGAGCCTATCTGTTAGTGTGGAACCCATATGTCAGTCAAGTATTGTATAAAACTACGAGAGGCTTTGCTCCCTTAGTCTCTTTGATGTGAAATGAAGAGATGGGTCCTGCCCCTCATTCAGGGTGGACCTGTGTCCACTCGGCTGCTGCCAACACCTCCTCAGGGATCAGGCAGGTGGAATCAGACCTCAGTTTTCAGATTAAGGATTCAAACCCCTTCAGAAATCAAAGCAGGTCTTCAAATACCTGAGTGTAAAAAAAATATAATGCTTTTGCTTTAAAAAATAAAAATAAAAAGTAGAGAGCCCTCTATGGAGAAATGAGTCTGATATTTTAGTTTTATATAAGGCCTTGTTAATCTGGGCTTTAGGTCCTTGGAACGCATTAGTAGGGGTGGCTGTGTGATGAGCTGATGATCTCCAATCATACCTTGAGCCTTCTTCGCTGACCTGCGTGATTTCTGCACCTTTGTGTCATCAGCCAATAGTCTGAGAAGAGTTTCTGTCATTTGCTGAAGTCTTTGGTTTGGTTGCTGTAAGTCCTAGGACATGAAGGTACCTGAGAGCTCATCTGAAATTCTCCTAGGGAAAAATGCACTCCCCGTGGAAATGGTTCTGGAAGCTATTGATTGTTTCTTTTAAATATACACTGAGTGGCCAGATTATTATGACCACCCCAGCAGTACAATGAAGTGAATTAGTTATGCAAATAATAATAATAAAACCTTGAGAGTATTTGCTTAGGAAGTTTTCAATATTCAGTATTTTTGGAAGTGTCAATGAAGTACTGATGGGGTGGTCATAGTAATCTGGCCGGTCATAATAATCTGGCCACTCAGTGTATATATTAGGTATATACTATTATATACAGTATATATATATGTGTGTGTAAACATCAGTGATGAGAGAGAACCATTGATTGGCTGCCTCCTACACGCCCCACACTGAGGATCAAGCCTGCAACCCTGGCATGCGCCCCGATAGGGAATCAAACTATGACCTCCTGGTTCAGAGGTCAAGGCTCAACTATTGAACCACGCTGGCTGGGCCATTGATTGTTTCTTATTTTTGGGGGGCTAAGTGAAGCCCAATAATTTGGAGGGATTCTTATCTTAAAATACAGAGTCTCAGACTTACAGAAATCTGCATTTTCCTTATCTCCCCAGGTAATTTTCAGAAGCTTTCAAACTCATGATTAGATACCTAAATTGTATTTACATTGGTCTTAAACTAAGAATGTCAATCCTCGGTGAAAATCAGTATATCCTGGTAAATTAGCCATGTGACTTCCGAGTGGTGCTGATTTCCAAAGCTGAGATAATGTAAAATATTACAGTGAAGCATTATTAAGCTTGAAGTTCAGCCATATAGAGAATTTGTTTAGGTGTGACAGAGTTGATGGCTACATTTTATTTATCTAAGTTAAGGCTTATTATTAGCTATGAAAAGGATTGGCATAAACTGCTCATTAACATTGATTAACTGTTTCTCTAAAAGGACTAAACAATACAAGCACAGGGCAGGCGTCAGTCAGAAAACGCCATACTTTATAACATTTCCCCCATTTGCTCTTTTGTGTGCTGTTTCAGAAATTGTAAATCTGCTACTCTATTTCCCAAAATCTTTTCCTCCCTCCTTAGATTCTTAACCTTGTATTATGAATACTGGAACGTTACTTAGATCATCTGTTCCAGCTCTCTTCAATTCCAAAGTGATACTATTTTAAGAAGGCATGGAAGGGAAAATCCACAAAATATGCCTGGAGTTGTCAACCTTGTAAATGACACATAGTGAAAGCTTAGTCGTGGAGGATTGTCACAGAGCCTGATGTTAGCTCGGGAAATATGTGTCATCTTAGAGAACTGACAGGAAAAGGGTACCAGGGAAAAGCCTGCTGGGCACCAATTCCAGGAGCCTGGCCTGAGAGGCAGCCCTCTCTGTTAAGCAGGAGTATAAATATTTTGCGGGTTATGCAGGAAAGCAGATTATATTCCTCTGCTTCTTAAAGTATTTTATATAGTTACTTGGCACAGAAGTTGTACATAATCTCCTCTGGCTTTCCCCCCAAACAAACAGACCCCATAGCTGGAAATGTCCCAGACCATGGGGAAACTGTCATTTGGATTTTTCCCTCTGCCTGCAGCGAGGGAAGGGAGCAAAGGAGAGCACTTGAGAATGTTCTTGGCAATGGCCATGAAAAGTAAAGGAAGTGAAAATCCTCAAAGGTCAAGTATACTTTCAAACCTCCAACTGGGCCACATCTGAAAGAGATCCCTTCCTTGTCATTTCTAGGAAAGGGGTAGGACATGAAATTCACTGCACAGCCCTGCCAACCGATGTGTAATTTACAATGCTTCTCTCATCTTCAGCTTTTACCTTTTCAAAAAAAGAAGAAGAATGAAACAAAAATTCCATAGAAAATGCTATTCTGACCTTTGGTCTTCCTTTTATCTGGGTAGGACTAGGTGGATGTCTTAGCGGGGGCTGCTATTACAAAATACCACAGATTGGGTGACTGAAGCAACAGAAAATTTTTTTCTCACAGTTCTGGAGGCTGGAAGTCCAAGATCAAGGTCTTTGCAGGTTTGGTTTCTCCTGAGGCCTCTCTCCTTGGCTTGCTGATGGCTGCCTTCTGCTGTGTCTTCACATGGCCATTTCTCTGTGCATGAGTGAGAGAGATCTCTGTTGTCTCTTTGTTTTCCAGTCCTAGTGGATTAGGGCCCATGCTTATGACTGTATATAACTTTACCTCCTTAAAGGTGCTATCTCTGAGTATAGTCACATTGGCCTAAAGGCTTCAATGTATGACTTTTGGGGTAACACACATTAGTTTATAAACAGTTGGCTACATCACGCTTCTGGATAGACACAGTGTACCCCCTCTTCAGTATTTATCAGTCCTCAGCTATTTAATGTACACGGATGGTGTCTTTATCCCCAGAAAGTCAGAGGGACCATGAAAGATATTTGTTCTGCTTCTGCACCCTAAGTCATTGAAACCAAGTTTCGCTTTAGCAGTCTTCACTCTGCCTGTATGAACTTCCTATGTATGACCTCTTTGGCATATAAAGCATATATTTAACCTGAAGAGATTTGAAGGCTTTTGAAAACTTGTCTTTTTGCTAATTTATCTATACTCTTTTAGGCTCCTGGAGAGAATTTTTTTTGTGAAGATCAGCTTGTCAAAAATGACCCCTAAAGTGAAATCGATATGCTGAATTTTATGGATGACTCCCACTGTCCCGAATTCACTCATCTTAGTTGCTGAGCGTAGGAATGACAGCAGACTCAGTTTTGGCATTCATGTCATCACCCTGGAGTTAGTAAAACCTTAAACCAGCCAGGCATCGGGCATGCATTTTGCTGCCAGGGACAGCTCAGCTTCTGGTGTCTTAGAGAGGATGTGACATAACCTCTGTGCTTCCAAGGTGTTTGAAACTAAAGACCTTCTATTTCCTTGCTGAGCTTAAGAGTTGACAGTGGTGTCCAAAATTCCCATGGTCTTACCAGGATAAGCCATGCTGCCACTGATGGCCAAGAAAGGCAGGTGGATGTGTGCCCTGTAGAAGGGTGTTGGGAGAGAGAGCTGAGAGCTGAAACAAAGCAACATTTAGTAGCCACTGAAACACGTTCTGGTGCTTGGAGCGTGAACATCTCTGCACTGATGGGGCTAAATTAAACTCTTAGATTATAGAGCTCTTTTATTCCTCAACCCCTGTCTCCCTATCCCAGCCTTGAATGCAGAGCTCACCAAGAAACCACACTCTACCCCAATGCAATGATTAGAGCGAGAAACAGTTATCTTATCAGCAAATGGTTAATATTCACTTATGAGCAGTGTATTAGTTTCTTAGGGTGGCTATCACAAATTACTACAAATTGGGTTTGCCTGAAGCAACATTCTCTCATCATTCTGGAGGCCAGAAGTCCAAAATCAGGGGGTCCATCTGCAGGGCTGTGCTACCTCCGAAGGCTCTGAGGAGCATCTGTTACTTTCCTTTCTCTTGTTTGTGGTGCTGCCTACAACCCTTAGCATTCCTTTGGCTTGTAGAGACATCACTCCCATCTCTGCTTTCATCTTCAAGTCAGTATTCTCCTTTTGTCTCTGTCTCTGCGTGTCTTCTCCAGTATGATCAAGAGCCTGCCTTATTCCAGGAGAGTCCACCCTAGTCCATATTGGATTGAGGTCCTATCTTATTCTAGTATGATCTCACCTTTACTTGATTGCATCAGCAAAGAGCCTATCTCCAAATGAGCCATACTCACAGGTATCAGGGATTAGGACTTCAGCATACCTTTTTGGGGAACATAATTCAACCCATATCAGGCAGTTTAGTTTTTTCTTTCCCTTGACTTATATGAATTTGAAAAATTGACCAAGTTTCTCCCTGAAACATTATCAAATTTAAGTCAGGTTCTGCTTGTCTTGAATTGATGATCTCTTTGTATAAAAAGAATAATTTACATATTTAATTGGTACAAATTGTGAAAGGCTTTAAATGCTTTGCATTTGCTTGAGGCTGATTAATGAGTAAATTTGTAAACTGTGGCTGTTTTAATTTGCCGGGGTTAATTAATGTTTACTGCACTTGGAAGATGAAAAGACATATATAAATGCACCGTAATGTGAATCATTTTTTAATTTGTTGTGGAGCATAAAGTATATTCAAATTGCTTACATCACTTTTTTTAAAAAAGGCTGTTGGAACACTATGGTAATTAGTGGAGAGGACTCTAAAATGTTGAGGTGAATTAATGACATATTATTGAAGATATCCTGTTTTAATACTATATATTCCAAGAAAGGTAGTTATATTTTTACTCTCATTATGTAAAAAGTAAAGAGTAGAAAACTCAGAGGTCAAAATTGATAATTATATAGTGTATCATAATTTAGATAAAGTCTGGATTTGTTTGTTTTTGCTTTGGCTTTTTAGTTCTGAGTTGAGACTTTTGGAGCAGGGTAGAAAAAAAAGGCTAGCTGTGCTGAAATGAAAATAAGATTTAAAGCAACATTTTTAAAGAGAAGAAATTACTAGAATTTTTTGTAAATTTTCAACTGGAGATGCATCGGGGGCTGGGATGAGGTCTAGTGCTGAGACTGGGAAGTGATTAGAAGGAAAGACTCGGGTAAGGTCTCCCCTATGAGGCTGGAAGCTGAGCATCATGGAAAGCGATTGCCTCAGGCAGTGAATGAATGGGTTCTCCATTCTTGTGAGGAGGTGGCCATCTGGGGCAATTTTCCAACATGATCAATGGAACACACCTCTGGCACCAGGATCCATAGTTCACGAGGCAACTTAAAGTGGCGCTGGCCTCGGGGATACCACCCCATTCCACGTCACCATTACCTGAAAAGAAGGCGAATCCACGGTTAAGGAAGCAAAAAGGTTGGGTCTGCTTTATTTTCCATCTCCTACACAGTTTTCTCCTTTGTTCTTTACAGAATTAAAAAAAAAAAAATAAGATTGCTTTAAAAAAAAAAATCACCTCATAGATACTAACATTGAAATAACTTAGGGGAAAAAAAAGACCCATAATTCTTTGTTTGGATATGAACAGTAACCACCAGTCCGATGTTATTGTTAACCACTGCTGTTAGACTCTAAGGAATTTTTATCAAAGACACGGCACTTCGTTGTGGGTGGAACCATTCATTCTCTAGCAGAATTCAATATACAAAAAAAATCCCCTAGGAGAAATCTAATGTGAGCCTTTTCCCAAAAACCCTACAAAATTCTTCTGAAGTCTGGAAAACTCCCATTTTCATTCCAGTGCTTCCCTGTGGGCTGTTTCAGCATAGACATGAGCTCTCCCGGCCCATACTTTCCATGGTCCTAAGACATCGCCACTACGATGTGTTGGAATACTGCAAATTCTACGTGCCTTAAGTAAAACCTGTGCTTCTTTCCAATATCTGCCCTTCTGATAGACAAAACTCAGGCCGAGAATAAAAATATTACCATCCACCCGATCACACCTCTACTCTGCTTCACCACCACCATCAAAGTCACACTGTTTTTCCTTGTATCTAGTCTTGAATGTCTTTCTGGCTTTATCACTCTAGCATACATTTTTACCCACCATCCCCTTCCCCTTTCTTTAATGCTGACCTGCCACTTACGGATCTTATAATCCCCAGATTCCCCACCCCACCCCCACCCCCATCCCTGCTGGCCACTCAACCTGTAGAATTCCTGTAGTCTGGATTTTTGCTAATTGCATACTCCCAGTGCAGGTCATGAATTCCTCTGCCCTCTGTATCCCATAAACTTTAAGTTCTGGCTTCTGTTTAAGCTAGCTTCCCTTGTGCCCAGCAGCCAACATAGTCCCAGCTCTCGGCAAATTCATCCTCTGCTCATTGGTACGTGCATTTACATCTACTACAACGGTAGTGTCTATTCCTCAGCAAATCTGTAATATCACTATCCCCAGCCCCACAATCCCAGCTTTATTTTTTCCTCACTCGCTCTGTTCATACTGTTTACCTTAACACTTTTATGGGAATTATTTTCATGTCCATCTTTCCTCTGGACCATGAGCTCTGAGTAAAAAGGAATTGCCTTAGTTATTTATTGCACTGGCCTGGGAGATGGGAGATGGTTGGATTTCTGAACCGTTGAATGAATGAATGAATGAATGAATGAATGAATGAATGAATGAATGAGCTCATTAATTAATGAGAAAATGGTTTTGTTTTTCTTGGCTCCAGATTATTTTCCTTAAAGGGAGTCCTTTCAGCCTCCCACTCCTGCACTATTAATGCTTCCCTGAAGGCAGACACTCTCCATCCATCTCCAGGCCCCAGATGCCAAGCACTTTCCGTCACCAGGCTTGATTTCCCCTGCATTGTTAAGTGGTAACATAAATCAGCTAATGCAGAAGAGAAAGGATCGTTGCTCTTGCAGAATTGTGCACTGCAGAGCAAGTTTTGTGTTAAAGTAAACACGAACAGGCCAGTGTGCAGAAGAGCAGAGAGGGTTGGTGTGTGTGTTTTAAATCTGTAGAAATAAACATTTCCAATGATCTAGCATGTATACAAACATGCTGTGATGGCTATAAGAACAGGCAAGCCCTCCCTTGTGACATGTATATATTTATACTTGTCCTGATCTCATTCATACTTACCTGGTCCCCTTATTATAATTATCAGCATAAATCTTTAGGCTCTTGGAGTGAAATTAACTAAGTATGGATGTTGACAATTTCACTTTCTACCATCAGCTAACAGGCTTTGCTAACCAATACGTCCCTCTAAAGATAAAGTCCGTCAATTGAGCATTTACCAGATGAATCCATTGGAATGCACTTCCTTCATAGCAGAGAATGATTGCTGGCTGTTGGGAGAGGCACTGGTTCCCATTCCTTTGGTTTCATTGGGTCCGCCCCAGGATATCTGTTACCCAGGTAAGACAGACTCTCACAAGTTTGGGAAAGGGTGCCAATCAGAAGGACCAGCACTTACAGTGTGCAGGTTGGACAGGACCAAGCTATAGAGGCACCCCTCAGACTCTCTCCCTCTTCAGGTGCAACTGAGGGTACACGGGGAAGCTGAAATCCAGTCTTCATGCAGCTACAAGCCATGTGCCCTGTGCGTGACTCACTCCCCAAAGAAAGCAGCACATGGCCTTTATGAGAAATAAAGGTGATGCTTTCGTCTCCACCTGCTCTCTCTTGATTGGTGCAGAGCTCAGGTGAGAAAGGAGACATTATGGATTGATGCCCAGACACCCCAACACCAGCAGCAAAGGCTCCAGGACAGGATGGGCCCAGATTATATAAAGACCCCTGGATGACATTGCCTTTATTAAAATATGTGCAAGGGAAGTAAAACCGTATTTGAGTATTTTTCAAAAATAATCTTCCTCGCCCTGGCTGGGTAACTCAGTTGGAGGGTCATCCCATCCACCAAAAGGTTGCAGGTTGGATTGCCCATCAGAACACATGCCTAGGTTGCAGGTTCCATCCTCATTGAGCTGCACATAAGAGGCAACCAAATGATGTCTGTCTCTCTCTTCCCCTTCCTCCCTCTCTCTAAAAATCAATAAAAATACATCCTCAGATGAGGATGAAAAATAATTTTAAAAAGCAATAATCTCCCTCCTTTTGCTTTCTTGTGCTCACTAAAGGCATCAGCAGTTTTTGAAAAATGAAATGTGATACTGACCCAGGTAGTGCAAACCTCAGATTTTATTTTGTTTTCCCATTTACTCTATATCTGAGAACTTAATTAGAAGTAAAAACAAACAAACAAAAAACTATACCAACTATGCAGAACAGCCCACCAGAAAATGGAAAAATACGTGCTATGGAATGAAGTAGGAGAAAAATTCATCCTCACAATTCCATCTCTGTGTTCTCAAACCTGATACTTGCAGTCCCAGGGGCCTCTGCGTGCTTAGTAACCTCACTGCGTTTACTCTCATTGACCACAGTCATAAAACTTGGGTCATAAAGCAATGATGGGAAGAGATGAAATAATCAATTCTGCAGAGGATAAAACTGTTTTTCAAAATGGCTCTCGGTTTGCTCTGGTGGTGGAATTGCAGGTGAATCATTGTTATTTCTTTTGTTTTCCACCTCTTTTGCACAGAATATATGTTCCTCTTGCAATTAGTACCAACTGTTAGGTTTGCATTAAAAGAGGAATCTCAAAGAAGCCCTGGCTTACGCTGCAGGGTTAGGCTCTTGAAGACATGTTTGCAGAGAGAATTCCACATGATCCTGATTAGTCTAAAACTCCTTGAGCTTAGCCATGAAAGTACACATCTCCAGCCAGTTTTGCTTCTAGGCTGTGAAGAGACCACTGTTTCCTGGGTTGAAAACCACATGAAAGAATTGCCTTATGTGTAAGAGTCAGGAGGCATAAAAATCACATTCATTTTTCCTTTTTTTGCATAGGATGCATGTTTTATATCTGCTTATGTTAATGGTCATGTATGCACGTTCACTATATCTGCTGACGAGAGGAAAAATCCAGATAAATAGAGGTTAAAGCTGGAGCGACAATTTTAGCTCCACCGGACTGCACTTTTCCTTTCTTTGTGTTTTTGTTGTTGTTGTTGTTAATCCTCATTCGAGGATATTTTTCCATTGATTTTTTTGTTTTTAGGGAGAGAGAGACAGAGAGAGACAGAGAGAAACATTGATGTGAGAGAAACACATCCATTGGTTGCCTCCTGCAGGACCCCCAACCAGGGCCCAGGCCTGGGAGGAGCCTGCAACCAAGGTACATGCCCTTGACCAGAATCAAACCCGGGACCTTTTGGTCCGCAGGCCGACACTCGATCCACGGAGCCAAACCAGCCAGGGCATGAACTTTTTATTTTAAAACAATTCCAGACAATTTAAAGCAAAGTTCTGGAAATATTACATGAAATTCCTGGTTTTGAAAGTAACTTGCAGACACATTGGCCCTTTACACCTAAATTCCTCAGTATGTGTTTCCTCAAAACAAGGACATCGATTTGTATATGTGAATATAACCTCAACGCGGCATACGTTCAGAAATCCTTTCCATAATAAATAAACTTGGCTCTGGTGTGACCTTTAGAAGAGTGTTCCCCTCAGGACTGCTTAGGCCCCCGACTGCCCAGGCAGAGCAGGACTCCCGATGTAGCCAGAAATAGGATTGGCACGTGGGCACAGGTTCCAGGAGGAAACACGAAGAAGGAACCCTTTCATCTGTTTTGAGGTGCCGGGGGGCCTGCCTGCCCTTTATCTTGATTTCTGACTCGATGCCATTGGTAGAACTGAGTTGTTTGATCTACGATGTTTAAAAGTCCAGAGGAAATTTATCTTAAATGAAAAGGGACTTTTTCTGTGCTCTCGGTCTTATGCCGGGCAAGTGATACTTCAGGAAAATGTCACTGGCGATGAGGGAACTTCTCACAGTGATGCGGAGCCGTGTTGGCATCCCCTCCGGGGACTCTTTGTTGTCCTAAGTGGGTAAAGCATGCTCCATTTACAATCCGTGTCCAAGGCACTCCGAAAGAAAAATAAACCCACATTCGGACGTGGAGGCTGAATGTTAAGACCGTCAGAGATTTTCAAGATGGATAGCGTGGCTAAAAATAAGAGGACTGGCCCAGTTTTCTGCAGGTTGAAATAAAAAGTAGATTTGTGGAGCAGCATTGCTCTGGGATAAGATGATGTCTATGAAATGTTTTCCCCAAGTTGGGAAATGGGGCGGCACCATACAGGGCTCTGTTTCCACTGAGGTTGTCTAGTCCCTACACCCCTGATGCAAAGGGATATTTGGGAAAAAACAAAAATAAATTAACAAAATTAATTAATTAATTAATTAATTAAAATAAAACAAAGGGATGTTTGGGGTGGCTGAGCATGCAGAATCAACCATTTGAATAACTCAAGACTAGCCCTGGCCAGTGTTCTCAGTGGTTAGAGCATCAGCCCATGAACGGAAGGGTCATAGGTTCAATTCCTGGCCAAGGGCACATACCTGAGTTGCAAGTTCATTCCCGACCTAGTCAGGGAGTGTGCCAGAGGCAATCAATCGATCTCCCTCTCCCTCTTTCTCTCTATCTCCCTCTCTCCCTCCTTTTCTCCCTCCCTCCTCCTTTACTTCCGCTCTCTCTAAAAGTCAATGGAAAAAATATTCTCAGGTGAGATTAAATAAATACATAAATAACTCAAAACCCCAAAGGCATCTAAATTATCTTAAATTTTACTCCAAATTGGGGAAAGCTAATGACAGTTTGTGTAGCTATCATATCTATGCCCATCACCCAGAGAGGGAGTCAAAAGGAGATAGCTTTCGGCGGGGACCTGCTGTTGGGGTTGGGCTGTCAAAATGGAAGCCATAAGCAAGGCCTGGCTTAGATAAGGGAGCAGCTCATGGTTGTATGAGAGGGCATGCCCTGGCTTTCCAGCTTTGCTCTACCATCCAGAAGTGCTGTGACTTTGGACTATGGCTAAAGGCTCTTACCTTTGGTTTCCTCATAAGAAGAAAAAAAATATCACTGCATACGTCACTTTCTAAATCTGTCAAAAATAATGTATGCAAAACAGGGTGCTTGTGATGATAGAGGTGTGTACATTTATATGATATGGGTTACAAGTCAGATTAAATAGCGTGTTCTCGAAGAAGTGGAATTTTTCATGGAATGGTGAGAAGGTTGCACTAGGAGTCGAGATATTTGGGTTCAGATCTCAGTTCTGCCACTTGATAACTTTAAAAGCATTTCTCAAGATGGATGACACAATTTGCTCAACTGTCAGTGAGGGTGGCAGCCCCACCATAAAGATTGTAGTGGGTGTCCAAGGAGCTAGTGGATCTGAAAAAGGCCGCAGAAGGTGTCGCAGGTGCAGTCGATCTCATGCTGTCAAGCTGTCCTAGCATGACAGTTCCATCAACAGGGCAGCCATCCCACCGATTGAAATGTCCTAATGTACAAGAATCACCTCAAAAGTTCTCCCCACATCAGCACTTCAAACAGGCTGCTCCGCTGAACTACGGGTCAGTCCGTGCCTAGAAGTAAGTGTGCTCACAGCGAGGGCTGGTCTTCAGGAGGGGAGAGCACGGAGCGCCCTCTACTCTCTTAGAACATTCTTTCTCTCCGTTCTCTCGGCGTCTGAACCACTCTGACACGCTTCCTGAACACTCCCCTGCTCTGGCTCCTAGGTCAGTTCCTGACAAGTGGTCTGGCAGACACGGAAATTCAGAAGCAGCCCTTCCTTCCCTGCGGCTTTCTGGTTCAGAAATGTCCTCGTGAAAGATCGCTTCCAGGGGTTGGGTTCTACAAGCATGACTTTGAGAGATTGCAGAGTGCGGATTTTTATGGCGCTGTTGTTTCTTGGCGGCACTCCTTGTTCACACCTTGTTTTGGTTTGAGGCCTGTTTTCTATGAAAGGGGGGGGGGGGGGGCGGTAGCTGAGGCCATTGTGTAGTGATGCCTTTGTACAACTTGTGGTCAGACTATAATGTGCCTAAGAATCGCCTGGGGATCCTTTTCCAGAGTCCGTTTCCCTGGTCCTGGGAGGGATCTGAGATTCTGCTTGCCATCCGTCCGGGGGAGGCCCACGGAATTAGGCCTCCCCTGATTCTGCGGATGAGGAACGCAAGGCCTAGGGCAGGGGTGGGCAAACTTTTTGACTCGAGGGCCACAATGGGTTCTTAAACTGGACCGGAGGGCCGGAACAAAAGCATGGATGGAGTGTTTGTGTGAACTAATATAAATTCAAAGTAAACATCATTACATAAAAGGGTACAGTCTTTTTTTTTTTTTTTTTTTAGTTTTATTCATTTCAAACGGGCGGATGGGCGGCCCGTAGTTTGCCCACGGCTGGCCTAGGGGGTTTCTGAGGCCGTGGGTGTAAAATACAATGAACAGTGGGGCAGTGATATGCTGAGCCATGGATCAGACATGCCCAGAACTGTGATGGAAAAATTAAATCCAATCTCGGTGCTGGTGTGGACAAAATGCCTAGAATGGATGACAGATTTACAGTAGAGCTTCTAGATGGGGAAAAAATTACATCCCTTTGATAAACACTTCCAATGCAGCTGTGGCAGTTGGGGGGCGGGGGGCGGGGGGAGGGGCGTACTTTGTACAGAGGTGGAATCTCCGGTCCTTTCAGATACATAAGTAAATATTTATTAAAAGACAAGAATCGGTCATATAATAATCCCCTGTTAGATAAGGTTGAAAGGAAATTTTTGTTTGGGGGAAAGGCTGCTGATGAATACATACTTTTGTACCGGGAACCAGAAGAATCGGAAAATGGGAAAAATTAATAAGAGCGATGCCGCATCAATCTCATACAAAAGAAAAAGCAGCAAGCCCAGGGGACCTCGGGCTCACACCCGTCTCCACATCAGCGCTTTGCCAGCTGTGCTTGGCATGGCCAAGGCTGAGTCTAACCTCCTTTCCGATTAGGAAATTGTCCTTTCCGCCCCAAATGAGTTTAAAGGTAGACC